CGGAAATGATGACTTATGTTGGGCTATGATGTTGTGTACATATCACATCTTATCATGTTGTTTTGTGGCGCCGGTTTCCTTCATTTAATTAGCGATTGTATTGTATGGATTTGAAAGATAGTAAATGATTCCATATTCTTGTCTTATATTGTTACTAAGGGTCTGTTTCGATCTAGGGGCTAACAGTTAACCCCTATTTTTGGATGTCAAATAGGAGGGCTAAATATGAACTAATTTTAGGCTAGTAAGAGCTAATAGGGCTAATTGGTGATTAAAACTCATTTTCTCTTATTAGCCCATGATTAACTTATGTTTAATCTATTATCATAAGACGGGCCAATTTTCATTGGAGATCATAGAACCTCCATGTCATCTACATAAGATGAAACTTCCGAGCAAAATATGGATATACTAAATATACTCTAAATAAAAAAGAAAACATTAATCCTAAAATTGGTGGACATTAATTGAACTTCATCAGCAAACATAGTCATTAGATCTAACATATCTAATTACCCTCCTTGGCATTATGAAAAAAACTAACACTATCCCATACTTTTAAATTACTCATATTTGTCACTATAAAAGAAACTAACCAAAGGAAACTAGATATCTACTTCTAAATTACCAATAACAAACAAAATCAACCCAAAGTCACGACGATCACATGATATATAATGAATATCATAATCGTAGAAAACTCAAGAAAAGCAAATTTCCCAAGACTCTGATTTGGTATAGAAATATAGTAATGACATATGGTCAATAATATATGCACATGTGTCACCTTTAAACCATGAATCATAGCTATATTAAATTTACAAAAAAATATTTTTATCTATATGTACCTTACTATATATATATTTATACCGCACTATAAAAGAACAAGTTTTTGAGGGGCTACTCAACCCTTCTAATCTTCATTCTAAAAAAAACTTCTAATCTCCGTACATTCCTAAGATGCCCACGCTAGGCAGACAGGGTCCTCTCAATCAAAGTGTCTATAATAAAAGAAGAAGGGAATAAAAGGCAAGATAAAATAAAGAAACACCTCAATCAAGTAATCAAATAAATCAAGTGCTATTTTTCGGCACACGGCAAAATGCGTCTTTGCCGAGTGCCTTTTTTCTGGCACTCGGCAAAGATGTATTTTGCCGAGTGCTATTTTTCGGCACACGGCAAAATGCGTCTTTGCCGAGTGCCTTTTTCTAGCACTCGGCAAAGATGTATTTTGCCGAGTGCTATTCCCCTAACACACGGCAAAATGCGTCTTTCCCGAGTGCCTTTTTTCTGGCACTCGGCAAAGATGTATTTTGCCGAGTGCCTTTGTTTTGGCACTCGGCAAAGAGGCATTTTGTCATGTGCATTTTTTTTGCCCTCGGCAAATCAGTTTTTCAAAGCAATTTTTGAGGCCCTAAATGAATTCAAATGAAAAACTTTTCAACTACAAAGTTGTATAACTTCTCAAGATCTATAAAATTTATTTTGGTCATTTCTTCATTTGACAAAGCGACAATAACGTTTTTCATAAAATCTACATCTCTCATATCTCTCATATTAGTTTCATGAAAGTAGAAGAGAGATATATAAGATTTGTGAACAATGTTACTACCACTATGTCGGATGAACAAATGACCAAAATAAACTTTGTAGATCTTGAGAAGTTATGAAATTTTGTAGTTGGCAACATTTTGATTTGAAATCATCTTGTCATGCAAAAACGACGTTTAAATTTGAAAATTTTAAAATTTGAATTTTTCAAAAGACCTCGGATGGAAAACTTCATAAATGAAAATTGTAGATCTCCAAAAGTTATGAAACTATGTAGTTGACAACTTTTGTTTTGAAATCATCTTATCATGCAAAACTACGTTTGAATCTCTCAAATTTGAAATTCGAATTTTTCAAACGACCTCGGATGGAAAAACTTCCTAAATGAAAATTGTAGATCTCGAAAAGTTATGAAACTTTGTAGTTGACCACCTTTTGATTTGAATTCGTTTAGGGCCTCAAACAAGCAATTTACTCTCGGTTTAGTATAATATATGAGGATAGATAACGGAATCTAAACACAAGTGACAGTGTAGTGCAGTGGTAGAGTAGCAGACACGCGAGGGAGAAGTCATGAGTTCAAATCCCGCCGGCCGCGTTAGCCGCGAATTTAGCGCAAAAAATGCAGCGACTTCGATGGAGACGGACGGGCACTGGCCAGTGGCGGCCTCCCTCGAAAAAAAATTGCTATTATTTTTTGGTTTTTTCGCATTTTCATTTTGCCGAGTGTAAATCTTTGCCGAGTGCTTTTCCGGCACTCGGCAAAAAAGCCTTTGCCGTGAAGGGATATGCCGACAGCTCTTTGCCGAGTGCAGCACTCGGCAAAGGCTTTGCCGAGTGCAAAGCCTTCTTTGCCGAGTGCAATTGCACTCGGCAAAGCACGCGTCTGCTGTAGTGATCCCTCCCACGACAACGCATTAAGAAGAAACTTTTTGCTTCCAAGCTACGAGAACACCCCGAAGGCCGACTGGCTTGGACGTGCCACCGAATACCATGGACACATGACGGCGGTCCTAGACTGTAGATGATCAACCTTGCATGGAGACCAGTCATATGATGAATCATTGTGCGTAGGTGGATATGTTTGGTGGCGCGTCATAGTGCCACCGGTGGTTTATGATTTGTAGCATTGATGTTGTGTTGCTTCCTAGTCGTGGGCTCGTTTCACAACCCTCTGTTATGTTGTTCTACATAAAGCATCTGCCCACGAAGATGTATTTTCCATATGTGACAGTCATTTGAGAAAAGGTGTTAGTGGAGGGTAGGGTTACCCCATATACCAAAAAAGAGTCTAGTCTTAAAGCTTGATACAAAAAATAAAATATCATCTATATGAGACACAAAGAACTGAAGTCATTGGACTCCAGAGACCGGCATGCCTGGATTAGATGATCTTTACTGTTATCTATGAGTTGTAACAGTGCCTAAACTCAGAGCTAGCGCGTCGCTCTGAATAAAACCTAAAAAAATGTGTGTTTAGTATTTATGAAAAACAATCATTATCCCAGGACAGCCAAATAATTGCCCAACACAAGCTTGCAGCGCCAACCAATACTAGTAAGTTATGTTTCCTAGCCCCCTAAATTTGACCAATTATTAAATAAATGATCTGCTTTAATAGGTGGAGGAGGCATACATATACACCAAAATAATTTTGCATAATGAACAATGGAAAAAAGAAGTGTTGAATGGTTTTCACCTTAGCTTACTACAACAACAACAACAAAATAAGCGGTAATACTCCTATCAAGACGTCCGTCCGTCCAGACGGGATGGACCCGCCTCGTGCCGCACGTCCCTGCGCCTCTCGCCTTGCACCTTGTGTGCCCCTACACCTCCTGCCTCACGCTGTGCGCCCCTGCACCTCGCGGCTCGCACAGTCACACTGGACCCGCCTCACACCGCGCGCCCCCGCACCTCGCGCCTCACGCGATCGGACCGGACCTGCCTCACGCCACGTGTGCCCCACGCCTCGCGCCTCGTGTCGCGCACCCCACCCGTGCCTCATGCCGTCCGCGCCTCGCGCCCCCGCTCGTGCCTCACGCCATGCGTCGCTCGCTCCTCACGCTGCGCTCCCCTGCGCCGAGTCAACTAGCCTCCATTGGGCGGTAGCAAGTAGATGAGCACATGTTGCAACCGTATGTTTCATGCGTTTTAGATGTTGCAAATGTTTCATCTGGATATTCCAAATAGATCTAGTGTTTCTTATGTTGCAATGGCTATACACGTAGTTTGCAAGTGTATGTTTCAGCTGTTCCAAATGTATGTTGCAAGTGTTTTATCTAGATATTGCATATGTTGCAGTGGCTATACATGTATGTTGCAATTGTATGTTCTAAATGTTTCACCTGTTTCAGACCTACATTGCAAGTGCTTCATCTAGATGTTGCATATGTTGCAATGTTGCATATGTTTCAGACATATGTTGTAAGCGTCTATTCAAAATATTTCGTTCACTTCATACGTATGTTGCAAGTGTGTTTATGTGGATGTAGTTGCTATACACATATGTTGCAAACGTATGATTGTAAATGTTTCACCTTGTTTCAGATGTATGTTGCAGAAGTGCTTTCATGTTGCAACATTAGCAGGCGTAGGAAGCGGGCGCATGCAGATGCGGTCCCCACGTGCGCGGCAAGCAAAGCGGGTGTGTCACGCGTCAACGGGCATGTGGCACGGTCCCCACCTGTATGCACATCAACAGGCATGTGGCGCACAGCTACATGAGTATGTGCACCGGCGTGTAGGCACAGCAGTTCCATGCGGCATGCGGGGACGGATGTGTAGACGCAACAGTTGGAGGCGGGGCAGGCGCCGTTCCATTTCTTCATGAGTGGAGCGCATTCGAGTGGGAACCGTACATGCATAGGAAAATTGCTACCGCTCCTGCCGCTCCATACAGTAGAGAGAGGATGCCGCTGGCGTATGCCCAAAAATTAGAGAGTAGTTTACAGCAACTTGTATCTCCCGGCACTAGACCAAAAGCAGTTTGTCATGTAGTACAATATTTACAATGCCAGGTATTATCTAACGAGCGATGTGTCACATAGCTTGGCCTTCCAAATGGATGGTCCGCGGATGACTATTCTGTGACCGGATGGCCCACCCCCACCGTCGGACGTTCCGAGCGAACGAACGCCAAAATGCAACTGAGAGACGAAAACCAGTTTGTAATGTAGTACAGTATTTATTTATATTTACAATGTCACTTAGCTAGGCCTTCCGTTTGGCTGCAGGCTAGTAACAAACGCATCGATGAAAACGTAGTACGCCAACCACAAGACCGGGCATTTCTGCCTGGGCTGGGCATCTCAGTTTGATTGGGAGGCGCTGCCTTTTTAAAGTTTTCGCCCTGTTCGCTTGGGGTCGGTCGTCACAGCGCCACTCGCACTCAGACTCAGCTCACGAGTCACAGACCACAGCATCAGAATATCGCGTTTGCCGCCAACATGGACAGGTCCTTCTCCCTGCTTGCTCTGCTTTCCCTCCTCGTCGTTGGCATCAGCCTGGGCTCGCTCCGCTCCGGTTCAGCCGCGACGACCACCACCGGCACCCCCGACGGCTCAGAGCTGTGGGGGTACGTCGAAGTCCGGCCAAGTTAGTGACGCTCCTCCCTAGCGGCCAATAACAACATCATCGTGCATTTGCTCTTTTGGCGGCCGTCTTTCTTAGCATTACTCGTTACACACTGCGTTGCCGTCGTTGCATGCAGAGGCTCACCTGTTCTGGTGGTACTACAAGAGCCCGCAGAGGACGTCGACGCCGACGAAGCCATGGCCGACCGTCCTCTGGCTGCAGGGTGGCCCCGTACGCACTGCCACTCCTCAGTTTATTTCTAGAATTTGCTCCTCTGTAGGTACAAAAGCATGGCCTGAACTTTGTCACCGAACCGTGGTCTGGACGTCCGGTGGCTTTGCAGGGCGCGTCCGGCGTCGGGTTCGGCAACTTCCAGGAGATCGGCCCGCTGGACGTCAACCTGCAGCCGCGAAACTCGACATGGCTCTCGAAGGCCGACCTCATCTTCGTGGTCAGACACAGATCAGAGATAGCCTCTTCTTTTGCTGTGTTATCTTATCGTGCGTACTGCGTGCTAAGCCTTCTATGCATGTCTGTCTCGACGACGGCACAGGACAACCCGGTGGACGTCGGGTACAGCTACGTGGAGGACGACAGCCTGCTGGTGACCACCGACTGGCAGCAGGCGGAGGACGCCACCACGCTGCTCAAGGCGCTGGTGAAGGAGGTGCCCACGCTGCAGAGCAGCCCGCTGTTCCTGGTCGCCGAGTCCTACGGCGGCAAGTACGCCGCCACGCTGGGCGCGTCCGTCGCCAGGGCCGCCCGCGCCGGGGAGCTCAATATCACGCTCGGAGGTACGTAGTACAACACGAAGCACTGAACCAATGCATCAGTTGTGCAACTTACGTACTCAGAGATTATCGGTTCTTTTGCCGTGCGCAGGTGTGGCGCTCGGCGATAGCTGGATCTCGCCGGAGGATTTCACGGTGAGATATTCGAGAGACCATCTCTCTGGTTTCTGTGAATAAATCACAAATGAATGGACAAGCTAATTAAAGCGAGCTCGATATGGATTGTGCAGCTCTCGTACACGCCGCTGCTCCTGAGCGTGTCGAGGCTTGACGACAACGCCGCCGACGAAGCAAACAAGTAAGCACGACGGCGGCAAGCGAAGTACCCAAGGGTTCTTTTTCCAGTCACAATCATAAGCGCACGCCAACTCTAAATGTAATCTCAGGATGGCCGAGACGGTGAAGGAGCAGATCGCGGTGGGCAATTTCAGCGACGCGGAGGGTTCGTGGAGTGATCTCCTGGATTTCATCGGCACCAGGAGCGGCGACGTGGTAAGTGTTGACCGTTGACTCCGTGGGGGCTCATATATATATATTATTTCCTACTTTCAGGAAGTAGTCACTCCAATGTGTGTGTATATATATATCATGCTTAACATCTCTCTCACTCACGCTAGCTCGCTGTATCTTTTCAGGACGTATACAATTTTCTTGATGGCAGCCTGGACCAGGCGACAGCGGAAACACCAGCGGCCTCGTCGCCAAGCACCGTGAAGGCTATGATGAAGTACTCGAGGTACCTCAGCGGCAAGCAGGAGGACTTGCCGGGCATCATGAATGGAGTCATCAAGGAGAAGCTCAAAATCATCCCCAAAAACCTCAAGTGAGCGGCCCCGGTCCTTTAATTTTGCACCACAGCACAACGGTCCCGGCCTCTTTCGGCTGACAAGAAGCCGGCTTGTTCGGCTTCTTTTTTTCAACCGGAACAGTGTTTTTCTCTCGTAACATTTCAGTTGGAACAGTTTTTTTCAGGATGAACACTGTATTTTTCATACCAGCCGAACGGGGCCATCGTGTGTTCCTGGCTAATTAATGCAATGATCTGATGCTAGAATTCCAATTATTGCAGGTGGCAGGGGCTTAATGATGCTGTTTATTACGCGCTGGTCAATGATATAATGAGGCCAAGAATCGAGGAGGTGAGCGAGCTAGTATGCCTCAGTATGGATTATCATCATCTAGACGCTAGTTAGACGATTACCCCACAATTAGCATCTAATCTTGACTAATTATCACTTAGATGGTCTAATCATACATGTATACCCGTCTACTAGACGCTAGACGACTTGAGGCCTCCAGCTAGAATCTAGGCGTGTCTTGGTGAATAATGTTCTGGAACTAGCAGCTCAGTTCGACTGACTGCGAGTGTTCTATTGCAGATTGATGAGCTGCTGTCTTACGGTGTCAATGTGACGGTGTACAACGGCCAGGTCAGTACTACTCTACCTTTTCAACTTCCGAATTCTGGAGTTCTCCACTCTGTTTGGCAGAAACATTACATCATGAAAGTTAAGGATTTAAACATGCTAAGATCAATGAATGTATTTATGTGGGTCAAATTGTTACTATCTCATCCTTTGATATATACAAGTAGCTTTTGAATTGTGTACACAAATTAAGTTAGATATACATGTGAAGAGAGTGATGCATTATAAGTGAACTGCCCATCTTTCATGGTGCATGCAAGATTTTGGATTCAACTAGATGGTACATGCAAGTTCATAAGAGGTGTCTGGCTTTTGTACAAATTGAATAAAAGATCTGTTACCCACTGCTATTCCATGTCTAAAGGAATAAGTGGATTGCCTGCCTTTCGCCGTTAGCCTAGGGCAAGCACCCAACGTACAATCAATCAGACTATCAGTTAGTACCTGGGATCTTCTTTAGAAAAGATGGTATCCTTTTCCAGAAACTATGAACCTTGATTGGCAGGTTTAATCAAATAAAGGTACATATGGACAACCTACCTCAGTCATCTGGATTATCCATTCGTATATTATTCGTAGTCAAATGCACAGGATTTAGGCTGAAATTTTCAGTGCTGCACTTGATACCTATGTTTTTTTCCCCCACAAAACTGAAGCTCGACATAATCTGTTCGACCATCGGCGCAGAAGCATGGGTTCAGAAGCTCAAGTAAGCCATCATGTCTTTTTGTTCCCATATAAGTAACAGGGGAAATATCTTAATGGCTCAATGCATCATTTGGGGATACAATAATCTCAGATGGGATGGGTTGAAGACGTTCCTGAGCCTACCGAGGCAGACTCTCTATTGTGGCTCCAGCGAAGGCACCAAGGCTTTTGTTAGGTCCTACAACAACCTGCACTTCTACTGGATTCTTGGAGCTGGCCATTACGTAAGTAGTATAAAGCATAAACATTGCATGTTGCCTGGGATCTGCTTCCCATGTGATCCTCTTATACTGGGATAGATGCCCCAAAAGCTGATTTGTTGATCTGCTCTTTGTTTGCAGGTGCCTATCGACCAGCCTTGTATCGCACTTAGCATGATCGGCAACATAACTCAGTCCCCAGCAAGTTAGTAAATTATACTTGAAAGGTCATACTTGAAAGTTACTAAGTTATTAACTCGGTCCCGCGGCAAGTACATTGTAATGTACCATTCTCCAAAAAGTACAGAAAAGGTTATACTTGATACACACATTAGTACTATCGCCTGACCGTTATTGTAAATTCTAAAGACCGTGTGTTCATGGAGCACTGTGAAGTGGGAGTGGTTAGGCATAAAACTTCATTTACTCCCTTGATCCACATCAATATATACAAGACAAGAGTATATTTTCATTATTGGCTTCTCTTAAACTATATTGTCACACGCCGCTACTACAAAAAGTACATCTTCCGAGTCAGCTAAAAAACATATTTTTAGAGGTCACAAAGTTTTCTGCCTCTAGTAGGAGGTCTGTTTAAATGAAAAATTTCCATAGGCGTCTGATTATTCATGAAACAAAATTGTATTGGCGCCGTCGTACAACGCCTCACGTGCGACAGCACCCGGCTGCTCAACGCATGTCTACAGGCTGCATCAGGCAAGGTGACCAGCAGTACCGCGTAGACGAGCCGATGAGCCGAATCCGCGTTTCAAGCCAGCGGATAGTTTTTCTAGAGAAGCAGATCGAGCGAGCGGGACGTGTGTCACGCAGACGGGTGGTGTCGCACGTGATGCTCTCTGTGACGGCGTCGTCACACAATATTTTTTTCACGCTTCCTATAATCCAGGTGACCGAAAACGATCGACTGCTTCAGGCGACGCGCTCCCTCTCTCCCCAAGCCGCTGGATGGAGATTCCACGGATGAGCTCGTCGCCTGAACGAAACTCAGTTTTCAGGCACCTGAGTTATAGCATCTCCCTATTTTTTTCCCGATTATTCAGCTATCTTTGCAAATAAGTTTACAGAGAGGGTGCCTTAAGACACCGTCTCCATAAACAATTGAAAAAAAAAAACTGCGGTTCTTGCTGCCAACGCCAGCGGCAAGCGAGCATGACCTTGCGGCAGTGTCCATGCTGAGCACACGTTGCGGCGATGCATATAGACCAGAACTATACCAGAGGCACCGGAGAAGGGGGAACAGACCATGACAGATCCTCCACAAAGCGCTTCAGCGTCCTGCCTTTGCGTCACCATAGCCAACGTCTGGCCTCCTTCATGTACAACGTCTCCTGCACCTGTGCCGCTGCCACCACATATGCCTCCTCCACGCAGTGCTTCAACATTTTTTGAAAAAAGATGTTTTGCAAAATTATTGAGGTGGGAGAGAGGAAGTACAAAGAGGGGAAGCACAAGGGGCGAAGGCACAAAGGGCAAGACGATCTTTTGTTACAATTCTAGCTAACTATTAGCCCTAAATGTGCTTACTCTAGGCTGATCGGACCAGCTCAACATGGTTGATCCTCTGTCGAACGTCGGCCCTCGATTGAGCCCTTGGATACTGGCACGGCGCGATCAGGTTCCTTAACCATGCTACTCCGGGCCCATTCTAGTTGGGTTGGACTCTATTGACTCAAGCCATGCCACATTTTATCGCCTATTTGGCCATCTCGAGTCTCGGCCAATTTTAGTTAAAGTTTCATTCTGCATTTAATTGCATTTAATAGGTTGTCATATAAACTTCTTTTTAAAAAATAGAGAAGATGCGAAATAAAACTCTCTTGGCTCGTTTTACAACTCTACATGAATTATAGAATTAAATGTCTATGAAACAAAAGAACAAAATTATACATTCAGATTGATTGTTTTATCCATATTTCATTGCATTTCATATTTTAAAACCGACACTACGAAGGTCTCCATTGAAAATGACCGAGGGCAGTTACAATAACAATCAAATCAACTGCCATTCGGCCGCATGAACGAGGTACAGAAGAGAGAGAGCCAAACTTGTCACTGCCTTCGTCGAACACGCATGTTTTCCTATATAATACTGGGCCCCACCGGATCGTCTCATTCGGTTCTTTTTCCAAATAATCTCATTTGGTTCTCTTCCCCTCTCATCCTTGTCTATTAAATAAAAAAAAATAAAGTATGAAAAGAGATTAGTTGTGAGTATATGAGTTAGGTTCTAAACTTGTATATATATATATTGATGATTTGGTTTGACTTATAGATTTTATTGGGCTTGCTCTGAGTCCACCTCGGCAGTTCTTGTTTACAGTCTCCGCCACATTTTCGGGGCGAACGCAGGAATAAAAAACACGAAAATAGAAAAAAAAAGCGTAGAAATATGGTGAGTGTGTAGTGGTAAAACAGAGAAAAAAAAACGCAGGAAATAACTAGAAGGGGTGTTTGAAACGCAGGAATCCATAACACAGGAAAAACGCATGAAGTAACACTGCACAACTCGAAGGAAATCAAAACCAGAGATCTGAGTGGATTCTTTTTTTTCCTTTGAAACAAGCGTCTGCGGGAGCCTTTCCTCTGGAAAGGAACTCACGAATCCTCCATTCCAAACGCTGCTACAGTGTTTTAAACTATAGGATTCTAATATCTTTAGAATTCCTTTGAAAATCCTGTAAATCAAACAGGCCCCAACCAAATCACGCTGACGCTTTGCCTCCGGTAGTCCACACGTTGAGCATCAAAGCAAGCGAATAGGTACGGCCGGCCGTACGGCGGGGATCCGCCATCGAGAGCGCTGCGCCGGTGTAGGCATCCAGAGTTTCCACACAGCAGACTGGTCAATACGCGTAGTCAATAATAATGCAGCAGTTAATCAAGAGTACTGTTAGTATATTGTTTAGCTGTTATGAATCAGTATTTGGCACTATAGCACTTTCGTTTGTATTTGACAATTATTGTCCAATCATGGCCTAACTAGGCTCAAAAGATTCGTCTCGTAATTTACAATCAAACTGTGTAATTAGTTATTTTTTTATCTATATTTAATACTTCATGCATATGTTCAAAGATTTAATGTGATGAAGAGAGAGTGAAAAAACTTGAAATCTAAACAAGGCCTTAATATTGGTCACGCGCTTCTATATTCTACTCCGTTATATATTGTGCCGGCATCTTGCAAGGCAATGTGATGCACCACCCCAGCCAACTTTTTCCGTGACAGCCAGGAAAGATCACTATGTGGAAGGAACATACTAGTCACAATAAACATATATTCATAGTACGGAGTAGTTTAGGTGGATAGAGTGAAAATGGTTTAAAATGTTAATCTTACCATGTCATTTTCTTCTTCCTGAAGCAAGTCTGGCGGTGTCTCTATTTGTACTTTGCTAATAATGAGCTGCAAGTAAAGTACATAATCAATGTTTATGAACCTTGAACTATAGACAGATAGTGCACCAAAACGTACCTCAAGTAAACGACCATTGCGCTTCACATCTCAAGTCAATACAGCATTTTGTTGAACCAAGGCAATATTTTGTTGAGTTAAGCGACCAACGTTGGCAAGTGACTTCTCATATCTTGCCAACAGATTTTGAAAACCCCTTGAGGTTGCTGGCCTTGTCCCACCTACCTTAGCAGCATCAATTATTGTAGCCTTGTTGACAGCACCATCTCCTATTGCAAGACGACCATGCATCAAGCCACCACCAATTTTATATGCAATTTGACCATCAAAAGGTTGCTCTTGACAGTTCTCTGGATACTTTTCTTGCAATGCTTCATTATAGTCATCCTAGAAATAACAGAAACTATTAGTCACAAACTACATGGAAAAGCATGAAACTAGATAGAAAGTTCTCCTACATACAACAAGTTTCTTTGCCCGTTCTGGAATTGGGCCAGCATTGCCATTGGCATCACAATTCTTAAGGCCAGCTTTCATGCAGGAAAAGGCATTTATTATAGTGCCCTTCCCAGGTCCATGCTTAGCTTCCTTCAAGGCATAAAAGAAGTGACCAATGTTAATGCATATGAAAAAATCGAAGTTACTCAGAAATGGATGGTGACAAAGGAGATTACCAGATATTGTTGAGCCTCAACTAGAGGCCTAGAACCACCCCTGTTTTGAGCGCCATCAGGATTTTTTTTCCGAGATTCTGGCCCAGCCTCCTTTTCTTCAAGTATTCATCAGAGCACCAATACTTACAAAGGGACTCCCAGGCTTCTTCAGTGAACCATCTAGGCTTGCATTGCATGTACTCTTCAAAAGTAAGTAAATTGGCACAGGCAAATGCATCAAACTTTGGGCTCTTTATGATTTCATGATAGTAGTGCTTCACAGCATCGGGACGAGCTAGGTACATCATATTCTTGCATTGGATGCGTGCATATTTCTCAAATACACGGTCTGCTTCATCTTGAAGTTGTTCAGGAACTGAATATATGCTCTGGAAGTGCAGGAGCTAAAGGATGAGAAAAACTAGAATAGCTAACGCTAGACAATTAAATTTTGAAGCAAATTTAACTTTTTCTATTCCATATCCATACATATGACTAGAAGATCTGCGGTGCACTAGTAATTTTAAAGGCCATTTTTCACTTCAATATTACAGTTTAAGGTTTAATATTTGACTGGAAGACGACTGCTGTGCACTCAAATCAGGAGCCTAATGCTATTTCTACTATAAACCAGTCACTACATTCTTTCAGGCAGGGCTCAAATCAGGAGCTTCCAATACACAGGGAATTTTGGCATAAGTTAAAAAGCAAGACATGAATATACCGTACATTGTAAAAAGTCTTCTATCTCTAAAGTTTGTTAGTTCCTACAGGATTTTGTTTATGTTTTGACTACCTATCTAACATGCTGGAAATCAGTTTGGCTTCTGCAATTGTGTTGAAAATTGATCTCTGTGTATATCTATGCTATTTACAGCTAAAACTTGACAGCTGCTATACTTTTTTCACACAATCAGCACGTGTACTGCTATTCTACTAGCATCATGAAAGAAATACAATGACATAGTTTATATGCTCACCCAGGACTCTTCTTTCACACGATCAGCTAGGGTTTGTGCATCATCCCTTAAAATGTGCGAGTAGTGTTCCCACTTGCTTGCATGATATTTGAATGGACGACCATCTCTAGTTGTCCCTTCAATGATCAGAGGATATTCTTGCTTTAAAAGCACTCCAAGGATGGGGCCTTTCTTCATTTTATCATCCATTGAGTAATTAGCATAGCGGAATTGGCTGCTCAATAAGAAAAATGAAGTATACCATAAAAGGATTAGCAAGTTCCAACACTAGCATTGTCCACACTAAGAGAACAAAATCAGCAAGCGCATGCTTGTCACCCTCAGGTATTATGGCTATCTGACCATTGCGAGGCTTGTGCGGTTTATTGCGGACCCTTATCCTCTTTTCTGCAGGGGGCTGACTCTCGATGTCATTTGAGACATCACATGATCTTGGTCGCCTATCCGTCCAATGATTGAAGGACTGCATCTCCTGCCACATAACATGTTGCAACATAATGTTAGTAGCAGACTTTTTAATGCAACAATACAAGCAGGAGAAAAAAATACTGCATACATATGTTAAATATAACAATACAAGAAGTAGAAAAAAGACTGCATATATATGTCAAATATAACAGTAGGAAGCAGCAGATAGTAAAAGACTGCAGACATATGTTAAAAATAAAAGTACAAAAGATACATAGCAGCAGATCACAGTGAGAAACCTATTACAAATTTAGACATAACAAATTGCTTCAGTCAAACAAAATAAAAATTCCTATACAGCTAGTAGTTGACCACTAAAAGACATAATAACAAATAAATTTCCTATACAGCTAGCACACCATAACCAGTGAATCACAATGAAAAATAGAGCAGCTATAGCAAAATTAGTCACTGGAAATTTGTGTTATATCTAAATTTGTGCAAAATAGAGGAGCAAAATTCATTGACAAAATTATATAACAAGTGAATTAATCTGCATATATATAGCAGCAAAAATAGTCACAGGAAATCAATCAAAAGCACATCTAGATGCAAGCTTTGAAAGGATTGGAAGCAAAATCCTCAGGTCACTACTACAACCAAAGCTTCGATAGTGTAATATTGCTGCAGGAATCGCAACAGCTAGCAACCAGAGAGCAGTTAATTCACCACAGCATGTCTAGCACAGATCAAGAACATATATGCTACATGGTGGCCATGGTCAGACCTTGCTGTCCGTCAGTGAGAGCCCAATTGTTCTTCCAGACGGGCTGCAGAGTTGGTGGTCCACCCTAGGATGTCGGAGCTATTGATTGCTTTTGTGGATTACTTGGCAACTATGACTTGTGTGAGGCTCCATAGTATGTTTGTCTAGCTTGGCTTGTGGTGTCATTGTATGGGTTAATTTGTTGTGAAGCCTTGGCCTTCTTGGGGCTTCTTCATGTCATAGTAGATGTGTCTAGGGAGGGCATGTTGCGATGAAGTCAGAGCTCCTACATCATGGTGACTTAGCTAGGCAACGCTACCCTACTCTCTTTAGGTGACAACAGCGGTTCCTATGCACTTGGTGTGTATGTCGATGTTGGGAGGAGTGACATTAGAGCGGTGGATGAGATCTGCTATAGGATGTCGGAGTTGCTCTCACTTTTTTGTTGAGCGGGAAATGATGACTTATGTTGGGCTATGATGTTGTGTACATATCACATCTTATCATGTTGTTTTGTGGCGCCGGTTTCCTTCATTTAATTAGTGATTGTATTGTATGGATTTGAAAGATAGTAAATGATTCCATATTCTTGTCTTATATTGTTACTAAGGGTCTGTTTCGATCTAGGGGCTAACAGTTAACCCCTATTTTTGGATGTCAAATAGGAGGGCTAAATATGAACTAATTTTAGGCTAGTAAGAGCTAATAGGGCTAATTGGTGATTAAAACTCATTTTCTCTTATTAGCCCATGATTAACTTATGTTTAATCTATTATCATAAGACGGGCCAATTTTCATTGGAGATCATAGAACCTCCATGTCATTTACATAAGATGAAACTTCCGAGAAAAATATGGATATACTAAATATACTCTAAAGAAAAAAGAAAACATTAATCCTAAAATTGGTGGACATTAATTGAACATCATCAGCAAACATAGTCATTAGATCTAACATATCTAATTACCCTCCTTGGCATTATGAAAAAAACTAACACTATCCCATACTTTTAAATTACTCATATTTGTCACTATAAAAGAAACTAACCAAAGGAAACTAGATATCTACTTCTAAATTACCAATAACAAACAAAATCAACCCAAAGTCACGACGATCACATGATATATAATGAATATCATAATCGTGGAAAACTCAAGAAAAGCAAATTTCCCAAGACTCTGATTTGGTATAGAAATATAGTAATGACATATGGTCAATAATATATGCACATGTGTCACCTTTAAACCATGAATCATAGCTATATTAAATTTACAAAAAAATATTTTTATCTATATGTACCTTACTATATATATATATTTATACTGCACTATAAAAGAACAAGTTTTTGAGGGGCTACTCAACCCTTCTAATCTTCATTCTAAAAAAAAAACTTCTAATCTCCGTACATTCCTAAGATGCCCACGCTAGGCAGACAGGGTCCTCTCAATCAAAGTGTCTATAATAAAAGAAGAAGGGAATAAAAGGCAAGATAAAATAAGGAAACACCTCAATCAAGTAATCAAATAAATCAAGTGAGTAAAATGGAAGGAAATACACAATCAATTGCATAATAGAAAGGAAAAAAATATAGACAATCATGTACTAATAATAAGTAAAACACCTGACACGTTAACCAAGCGGGTGGTTGAAGTTAAGTAAAGATAAAAAATAAAAAAAATGTTTGTTTTCTTTAACGACATGTATTTGGTGTGTCTAAGTATATTCAAGAAATGACTTCAATGGTTTATTTCTTTCCATTGTAAATTAAAATGTCATGGTTGAAAAATTATTGGCTGTTGTTTACGTTCATGTAGCACCTGGTTTTAAGAACAAAACTAGATGCACACCATAAGTGAGCCCAGAAAGTTAAATTACACATATGGCTACAAATAGAGGTAATATCAATAGACAATACTTAATATATAATGTACTTAATACAAAGAATATAACCTTAGATAATAGACAACGGAAAGACACTCCGTCCTTTAGGCGAAAGCTCTAAATCCACAGGGACAACTAATTGGTTGATCACAGACCTAACTCCTCCTGACTCTAACAATCTGGTACCCATCCGGATTTTTTTCAAAGAATTAAAAAGTAAAGCAAGCGTAAGTACATGTCGTACTCAGCAATATAACATGGGGTTCATGAGGCTCAAAAGGTTGACACTGGTTTACTACGATTAGCTTTTAGTAAGTCACAATTTTAACAATTGAATAGCAACAAGTTTAGCATAAGCCCCAAATAACCACATGATCATGTAAACAAGATTAATGTATAGCAAAAACAATAATCATCTTTATCATCAGTATCATTAGTGTTCATCATCTATTCAGTAAGGAGCCCAGGCCGCTCGTGACCGTGAGCACGGCTGATATACCAGTTTTACACTCTACAGAGGTTGTACACTTTCACCATGAGCCGTGATTTACCCTTTCGCCCGAAGTGGACAACCTCTTGACCCACTTCCAAGGAAGGTCGGCAGGGTTCACTGTAAAGCCTTTTAAAGGTTCGTCTAACAAGTGTAACCCGCTAAGGATTCCCCATCAACTAGTAAGATCCCTCCCCCAAGGTGTGACTAACAAAAAGACAAAGAAACCAAATTGCACTCCCTTGGTAGGCCACGGGATAAAACCAATTGGAGCCCCTCTTGCGCATTTTGGTAAGCTACTGCGAGCTAGAAAAGGTCCTCATACTTGACTAAAGCCAGAACCATATAGCACTCATTGTTGTACTGTAAGTCCTGAGGGAATCCACTTACACATAACTCCTTAGGGAGAGAAATTAGAGCACCATAAAAACCCAATGCTCCAGCCCTCTTTAGCCAAAGTTGCTAAAGAACATATTTTAACATTTATTGCATATACCATTAGTCAAGTTACATATCATGGTTATTTAATTGAGCGCTAGCATAAATACTACCCAATGCATAATCCCACGACGTCATGGTACATGGTACAAAAGCTAGGATATCCTTACAGGAATCAAGGTAGACACATGCATATGAATTAAGTGACATTAGAGTGAATAGGTAACAAGAATGATCCCATGCTATACTTGCTTTAAAAATTTAGATCCTCAATTGGTCCTTAGTCTTCAAAGAACTTCTTTCTTCTTGATCACCAACTTCTAGATCACCAGCGCAAAGCTCACCGACTAGATTTGATCATAGAACACCACACAAGCATCCATTCAATCATACACGAAGCAAACAATAGAATTAAATTAGAACAATACACCAAATATATTAAACAACAAGTAAAAATGTTTTAAAGATGTTCTACATGTTGCTACGAACACACGAGCACGCTAATTGGAGCTACGGTTCGAAAGAAACGACGACCGAAAAGATTACTCTATAGGATAATAAAGAAAACTACTAGCTAAATTTATTTTAACTATATAAAAGCATATATAAGACATTTCAAAGAAATATTTATTTGAAATTAAGTCAAATTATATTTGAAATTAGAAAACTAAAGTAAATTTAGTCATATTTTATTTATATATTTGTTGGGTATTCATTATTCAAGTTAGGAGTTAAACCATGAAATTTGAGAGCTAGCGATATATTAAACATTATTACTAATTCGTAGATCTTGTCATTATGCATCTAACGCAACTTGAACGGGTCAAAATGAAATTAAAACAAAGAAACGGCGGAGCGATCGCTGATTATAGGTGGTGTATTTCTATAGTATTTCTGGATTTGTTTTTCTAAAAGAAAACGTCCATAATTTGTGTGTGACGTGATGATGACGTCATCAAGCTAGCTGAGCAAAACTAGGCACGCACGGCCGGGCTGCTCTGCTAACTCCGCTCGCTCGCGCGGTGTCGCGCGTTTGCGCGCGTGCGTGCGCGCCGGGAGGCGGGATGCAGGGCTGGCGTGCTCGTTCAGCAAACTTGGGTCCTGGTGCAGGTGGCGGCGCCATGGACGGGAGCTCGGCTCCTCTCTGAGTTTGGCGAAAACAATATAGAAGCCTCGGATTTCTACGGGAAGAGCACTTGAAGATAG